AGGAGAATGGAGTTTTGGAGGTCTAAGGAAGATGGACCTGCAGACCCACCCTGGCATAAAGGCTGTTGGGATTAAGGTTCTCTGGACAAGCTACTGACAGAAACACAAACTTTGCTGGAGAAAGGCCATCGTGTGTGGAACCCAATTCTTGATTCTTGCAAAGCGGGCACCTGGCAGTTTGATTTCCCTTTTGTTGTCTCCAGTGCCTGTTTCATTTTGGAGAAGGTGGACTAGGGCAGTTGAACCCCAGATCTGTCCTAGGAGAACAAGTTAGCAGGGCAGGAGCAGGTGCTGGCCCTGGTTGGTCAGCTGGGCTCTTGGAGAATCTGTGTCTAAAAGGAACAAGGTCTCCAGACCAGAGTTGGAGGTGAGGCTGGTTTACATCGACCATTCTTCATTTCTGTGCTGCTGACTTAATCAGTCCGCTAGATTTAATGGAGGGTACCTGGAAAGATGGGTACAGCAGGGCTCTGGACCACCGGACACCACCTTCCGGCTCTCTACTCGTAGTGGTCAAGGCGGATTCCCAAAGACACAGAGATGATGCCCGGCGATGCGGTGATGCGTGGTAGGAGGAAAGGAGACTTTTCTTTGCGCCTATCCGGAGCTAGAGAGGGGGAGGGGTGGCACTTGGAACAGGCGCTGAGACCATCGCCTGTAGAGGGCGCCCGCTTCCCACGAAGTTCGGGCCGGGATTTTGAATGATGGTGGGGAGGAGGGAGAATGTGCCCGCTGTACTAGACTGTCCCGAACTCAGATGCACGCTCTACACCTCTGCTGCTGCGAGCAGCCCCCAGTCGACTCGGTCTCTGGCCGCGGAATGAAAGTCCAGGCCTCAGCCTATGACTTCTCACTACTGTCAGCCAAATTTCCATCTTTGATGGCTCGGGGACCCTTCGGGCTCCCACTGACTCCCACCCTGGGCTCCGCTGTATCCGAGCACCTCTGACCTGGAAGACTTTTTGGTGAAACGAGGAAAGCCGTGGATGCACCCGCAGAGAGCTGGGGCAGGCTTGTAAACCATGGGCGTCCAGGGCACAGCACTAGGCCTCCATCAGTGCTGCGCACTGTGAGCATCAAAGAACCCGAATAAAAAACTGCTCTTTGCAGAGCCATAAGTATTCCATTCAACCAGTGTTTGTGTTGGGCCAGGCTCAGCCGGCAGCGGCTCGAGCAGGTCCTGCCAATGAGGACATAGGGAAATCCGCCTGAGCAAAGGCGGTCCGGGGCCAGGGGTCCCCCACACCCGGTCTTTGCTCTGTAGGAGAAACTGCCCAGAAAATTCGCTAAGGGAGCTCTGAGTTCAAGTTAAGGTTGGCGGTGACCAAAGAAGGGGGAAATCGCGCAGGGTCAGTGCGGGTCTCCTCCCTATATTCAGATGATGACAGCGCCCCACACACACACTGTAGGACTGACTGCTGAAGTCACTAGACCCAGACCCAGCCACCCCACTGCTTTCTCGACTCCCTTATGGCCGTCGCCCTCCGGTGGGCCCAGCAAAGAGGCTGCCTGGCCCAGAGCGCCTTGAGGTGGCCTAAGAAATAGACCTTGGACCTCTTGGCGTCTGAGACGCTGCTCAACAAGCTGACCGCTCAGAGTCCGAAGGGTACTCGATGCTCAGTGACCCCGTTGAGGCAAATTCAGACCTCAGGCGTCGACCCAGGGCCTCCCACGCAGGTCACTGAACTTGAGAAGGGAGCCGAGAGGGCTCTGCCATCGGTCTGAACACTGCTTACTGGGCCAAGGGCAAAAGATGTGACCTGGCCCACATCGGGCCTCCCCTTGGGCTCTGCGGGTTCTGACGGATTGCGGTGGCTTCTTTGCAATGGAGCGAAGTCTGCACGGGAATATGAAGGTAGAACCAGGTTCACTATGAGGTCCTCTTTGGGAATCTCGAGTCGTGTTTGCAGCCACCTTGCCCACTCCCATCCCCCTGCAAGAAATCTACAGCCTGGAGGATCGAGAACACCCACCACGAGCACCCCACTCTGTGTTCCCCCTCGACAGTCCCTCATCCAACCTTGGGGTATCTACTGGAAAGAACACCAGGGTCTAAGAAGCCTTAGGGACTGGGGGTGGGAGCGCAGCGCGGGACTGAGGATCGGCGGGCGGCTCCGGGTTCACTAATCACATCAGCGCACTCTGCGCCGGCTCCAAGCAGGCAGTTGCCTAGCAATACCCGCGAATTCAATTCCTCAATCAATAGACGGAGGCTCTGCATTTCGGGGACCGCTGGCGAGGCTGTGGAGGTCTGGAGCACAAGTCCTATGACAGTATTGGGGAGCATTGCTTGGATCGCCGGCAGCGAGTCTACAAGGCTCTTGGGTGTCAAGAGCTATCGACGCTGACATAGAAGCCGGTATGGTGCTGGGGAGAAATCCTCCGTCAGACTGAGTAAAGGAGCCCAGAGGTCGAGCATATCATCTCAGGGGTCCCCGAATTCTGCCCGGGTCCCAAAGAAGTACAGCCAGTAGTGAAGATAGCCTCCCAAGAGAACTGAGAACAGTCATGACTCTCTCCCTCCGCAACCCACCTCCCCTAACACTCCCACAGAGTTTCCTAATTGGGAAAGGGCCTTTTGGGGGGAATCCAACCCTACTTTAGAGTATGGGGGCGGAGGTAGGGGCACCAAGTGGGTAGTGAGAGAGGAGGCAAATGTCATTCCTTTCCAGGAACTCTACTCTGTTTGGGGAGGAATAGATAGATAGATAGATAGATAGATAGATAGATAGATAGATAGATAGATAGATAGATAGATAGATAGATAAAATAATGAAAACCAAGACACATGTTTATTTGCAAAGTATATATTTAAACACGTAAAAAGTGATACTGGATACAGACACATTCACAACCCAAGAAGAAGATAGGTACCGAGGTTTCACTCTTGAGCTGAGGCGGCGATCAATTCGAGATTTGTATACATCTGAAAATTCAAAAACCCAACAGGCGCTCTGCCCGCCTGCGTTTGCAGACTCGGAGCCATGTGGCCCCAGACCCCTGCCCACCCCCCACCCCCAGGTCAGCCTCTCAAGAGCGAGCTAAGGAGACACACACAAGGGCCATGGACAGATGGCAGGACGAAGGGCAGTGAGGGCAGAACCAGGAACGCTGAAGGGAAGGAAGGTGCGAGCGAGCGAGGAAGGAGAGGGGAGAGAGGAAGTCGTCGGCAGTCAGGTAAGGGACTCCTGTCCCAGAGTTACGGTCCACGCGGTCACAAATGTGCCCTCCAAAAGCAGGTTTACCTGAAAATAGGGTCGACATCTAGACAGACACACGGTCAACGGCGCTTCTTTATACAAAGTCGAAAATACCAGTTTTACAAATATGAGCAGATAAAAATCCCCATTTCAGGGGCTTCTCTTTAGGCGCAATTTGATTTTCAAAAACAAATAAAAACACATAGAATACACCGTTTTTTTTTCTTTTTTTCCCCTCCCTCTATTTAAAGGCAAAGAAAGTCTGGCGGGAGGAGAGACTGAGATGCTGGAGATGAGGAACCAGGAGTTCGGAGGACAAGGCTGGGGTCTCTCTCAGTTCCTCCCCATTACCAAGCTCCTCTAACCCAGCCCAGAGGGCCCCCCCAAGTCTGTGCTTTGTCCTTCAAGCAGAGCCTCACGCCCCTCCCTCCAAAAACCCTAGAAGTTAGATCGCCTGCTGGCCCTTTAAGGGCAGGGAGGGCGGAGAGGCCGCAAGAACCCTGCTGAAAGGGGCAACCGTAGGCTGGGGGACGGATTTGTGCTTTTGAGTCCGAGCTGCGCGGCGCCGCCGTCCGGAGTGGGCCGAGACCAGGGGCGCAGAGGGCTGAGGGGCGCCTCGTCCCCAGCCGCGCCCGCTCCACCTCGCGCTCCCCCGCCCTCTTCAGGGGAGTCTGAACATCGAGTTCACGTAGCGAGCACTCCGAGAATCGAAAGGGACTATAAATTACAGCTTTTGCTTTTAAGAAAGAGGAAAGAGGGGGGGGGGGGGGAACTAAACTTCTAATGCACATTCTTGGATGGGAACCCCGCCGATCCCTTCCACCCCGCCGAGCTCCACCTGACCAAGTTCCACACAGGCTGCGACCCCGGCGCTCAGCTCGATTGACCTGGTGCGCAGCCCGCTGCCAGCCCCGCGGGGTGACCTGGCGGTCGTTCGTCCTTCGGAGAGCACGGCCCACCCTCACCCGACGAACCTGGCTTGTCCAAGTCTTCCTGGGAGGTGGGGCCGCCCTGTCTTCTGACAAAGATAGAGGACGCGCAAAGAAAAAGTCCACCCGAACATTTTTCTTGTAAAACAACTGTCTGGTGCTCTGGGCACTGACACGCAATCCTCCCAATTTATCCTGGCATTTCGGGAATGTAAACAAATTCGCTGGATTTCTTTTTCTCTCTGGAAAGTAAGGGAAGGAATCGAGGGAACGGGGAGATTTTTGTCCACATGATACACACACACACAATCCTCGTGTGCGACACTCATACCTCCCATAAAGTGCATCTCCTTGTGTGGTTATGGGAGAGCTGCGCCCCACCCACTCGTGACTTTTTCTACCTTCAACGACACGCGCGAAAAAGTTATTAAAGTTAATACTTTCCCTCTAATTGACCACTGAATCTTGTCAGAGAGAGAGAGAGAGAGAGAGAGAGAGAGAGAGAGAGAGAGAGAGA